ACTATTCTTCCTTAGGCTCGGTGGATCCGCCTAAATCGCGAATCCGGCCTTCGGATTGGCTGAGAGCGACCGGATCCACCTCCATCCACCGCGCCTATCTTCTCACGACCTCCATCCACCGTCGGATCCACCGCGCCTATCTTCTCACGACCTCCATCCACCGTCGGATCCACCGCGCCTATCCTCTCACGACCGTTAGCGCGCGTCCGATGCCCACCGGATCCACTCATCATGCCTACGTGGACCGTGGGACCGGTGGATCGCGTCGGAATGCCCATCCACCCCATCCACCGCGTCCACTCGCGTGCCTGACGGTATCCAAAGCCTCGGGATGGTCGCATCTACCTGTGTATCCGTATCGTGTTAGCAAACAATCGGATCTGCCCCTCCAGGCCGTTAGAACCATCGGTCCGCATATGTTAAGTGTACTTTCCAATGCCCAAGTGCGGTTTGGCAAGCGATATACGACCACAATCCATTGACCGGACGGTCCTTCGCGTCCATGAGTACATCGACCCGCCGCGTCTACCCGTCGGAAGCATCGGATCAAGCCCACCACGTCCGCAGGTCTACCCGGTGGATGGATCCACCTCGTCCACCTCATCCACAAGTCCGCCGGTCCACCACGTCCACACGTCTACCCGGTGGATGGATCCACCTCGTCCACCCGGTGGATGGATCCACCTCGTCCACCCGGTGGATGGATCCACCTCGTCCACCCGATCCACCTCGTCCACCCGGTGGATGGATCCACCTCGTCCACCGCATCCACAAATCCACCGGTCCACCGTGTCTACCCGTCGGAAGTGTTGGATCAAGTCCACCGCGTCCACAAGTCCACCCGGTGGATGGATCCACCTTGTCCACCTCGTGGATGGATCCACCTCATCTACCTCGTCCACAGGTCCACCGATCCACCGCGTCTACCCGTCGGAAGCATCGGATCAAGCCCACCGCGTCCGCAGGTCTACCCGGTGGATGGATCCACCTCGTCCACCTTGTGGATGGATCCACCTCGTCCACCGCATCCACAAATCCACCGGTCCACCGCGTCCACAGGTCTACCCGGTGGATGGATCCACCTCGTCCACCCGGTGGATGGATCCACCTCGTCCACCCGGTGGATGGATCCACCTCGTCTACCCGGTGGATGGATCCACCTCGTCCACCTTGTGGATGGATCCACCTCGTCCACCGCATCCACAAATCCACCGGTCCACCGCGTCCACAGGTCTACCCGGTGGATGGATCCACCTCGTCCACCCGGTGGATGGATCCACCTCGTCCACCCGGTGGATGGATCCACCTCGTCCACCGCATCCACAAATCCACCGGTCCACCGCGTCTACCCGTCAGAAGTGTTGGATCAAGTCCACCGCGTCCACAAGTCCACCCGGTGGATGGATCCACCTTGTCCACCTCGTGGATGGATCCACCTCATCCACCTTGTCCACAAGTCCACCGATCCACTGCGTCTACCCGTTGGAAGCGTCGGATCAAGCCCACCGCGTCCACAGGTCCACCCGGTGGATGGATCTACCTCGGCTACCTTGTGAATGGATCCACCTCGTCTACCGTGTGGATGGATCCACCTCCTCTACGAGTCCACCGGTCCACCGGGTCCACCGGTCCAAAGCGTCGGATCAGGCCCACCGCGTCCACAAGTCCACCCGGTGGATGGATCCACCTCATCTACCTCGTCCACAAGTCCACCGATCCACCGCGTCTACCCGTCGGAAGCGTCGGATCAAGCCCACCGGATCCACCTCGTCCGCCTCATCCACAAGTCCACCGGTCCACCGCGTCCACCCGTCGGAAGCGTCGGATCAAGCCCACCGCATCCACAAGTCCACCTTGTGGATGGATCCACCTCGGCTACCGTGTGGATGGATCCACCTCATCCACAAGTCCGCCGGTCCACCGCGTCCACCCGTCGGAAGCGTCGGATAAAGTCCACCGCATCCACAAGTCTACCCGGTGGATGGATCCACCTCGTCCACCTTGTGGACGGATCCACCTCGTCCACAAGTCCGCCGGTCCACCGCGTCCACCCGTCGGAAGCGTCGGATCAAGTCCACCGCATCCACAAGTCTACCCGGTGGATGGATCCACCTTGTCTACCTTGTGGACGGATCCACCTCGTCCACCTCGTCCACAAGTCCACCGCATCCACCTGTCGGAAGCGTCGGATCAAGTCCACCACATCCACACATCTACCCGGTGGATGGATCCCACTGAAGAAAGTATTTGCAGAGTCGCCCTGCTTGTCCAGCGTGCAGCCTTACGTTCAAGAACTTCAAGGGTCCGATTTGCTCGCCGTGCATTACATTCTACAGTCAATCGGTAGACCGTCATGTTGAGGCGAGCTCCCATTCATGCGACAGTCTATTTCTACTGACTGGGGCACCAGCTGGCTCATATCCCTGGAGCCATGGATGTAGTCATGGCGCTAGCACAGGATTTCAAGTCCAGTGCTTCCACATTTCGCCTAAGTCAACCAAGGACAGGCTGCCCCCTCAACGCACGCCATGGTCTACACTGCCCCCACTGCAAACCTAGAGGAGCCCGCGGCACCCGTCCGCCAGGGTCACAGGCGGACGCGCTCTTCGGGTCACCCTACGTTCCCCTCCGGCTCCTTCAGCCCCTCGTCCAGTCCTGGTCCATTTGGCTCGCTCGGCGTCCTGCCTCGCCGGAAGACGACGGGGAAGAAGGCATTCTTCCTCAACGACGACTCGCGCGAGGAGCAGGATGACCCGATGATCGCGGCTCCTTCGCCCGTCCCCGCACACGCGCACCTGGGTCTGCACACCAACACCACGGCGCTCTCGCCTTTCCCGAGCGGCGGTTCGCCGCGCATCCGGTTCCCGCGCGCCAGCTCCTCTGGCCCGCCCTCACCGTCGGTCATGCCGTCCTCGCCGCGTCCTCAGATCCAGCGGACGCCGTCGTCCTCGTCCGTGCCTCACATCCCGGACGAGCTGATGCCGAACCACCACAGCTTTCACCTGCGCACCAAATCCGAACCGGCCACGCCGTCGGTCAAATCGTTTCACTTTGTGGAAGAAGAAGACGGTGGGCTCGAGAAGGTCAGGGTCTACAACCGGCGAGCCCGGCCTGCGAACCTGCTGGTGAAAACGGGCGAGGACACCGAGACGGAAACGGAAGCCGAGTTCCCTTTCCCGAGCCTCGCGCGCGGGAACGCGACGGTCGGCGGAAGCGACGTGCAGGCGACGTTCGAGCTCGAAGACTCGCAGACGGGCAAGACGAGCGCCATCCCGCAGACGAAGCCGGACGCGCACACCAACGTCTGCGCCTCCCGGCCCCATACTCAAGTCGAGTACTACGGCCAGTGCGCGCGGCTGTCGGACGATGTCTCAGCCAGTACTTGCACCCCGGTTACCCGTCCGCGCGAGACCTCGACGGGCCCGATGGCCTGCGGGTCAGTGACCGGGTGCTTTCCCCCTGTCTTAACGGCGCCGCTGCGCTGTCTCAGTTAGCCTGGGCATATAGAACAGCGGCCGAGCGGGGAACGTTGCCGTTGCCCCTCTCGCCTCGGCTGTTGCTCGCCCAGGTAAAACTTCTTGCCGTCTTCGTGTGTCCCTCTCGGCCTGACAAGGCTGTTTCTCGTATAGCATACAATTTAGTTACCCACCCTTATCTTGTATCCCCTGTCCCCTCTTTGTACGCCCTACGCGCGCAATCTCATATCACGTCGGGTTGTCGCCGCGACCGCGCATGCCGGGTCGTCGACGCAACTGCGCCTTTTCCCGCTAACCCTCTCGTGTGCGCCCCAGCGAAGGTGATTAGTCGAGTATACTCTAGGGTTAGACTCCCTAACATAGGGTTTACGTCGACCGGTGCCAGGTTGCGCATGGGGTCCTGATGATTTCGATCAATCCTTAAGCTGACCCTGCTCGCGCACCGTATTTCATATCCGCCGGTCCGGCAAATCCACGACTCCGGATAAACCGGCCACGGTACGCAAATCACATCGGTCTTCCGCATCCACCGCCATTCCCACCGCTGCCATTGTCAGATGGCAACACCGGATTGATCCGGCGATCGCAGTAGCGACCGCGGTCAATAGGATCGGCATGGGGAAAAGTGCAGGCTACCAGTCTCCATGTCTCGGACGCAGATATGCCAACATGAGGCGGCAGCGTTCGCGCAGGAACAGGCAACGGAAGCGCATAACCAACTTGAATGGGAAGGCTGACACGATCGACACGACCCGCCGTTGGAGGACTCAGGTATCGGACCCCCCAGCGTCAAGCGAGGGGCGTGTGAGCGAACCTGTCAGGTACGCGGGTAGTGTGAGAACGTGGATGGCCAACGAACAAGATCCACCATCCGCGAAGCACCTGCAAAGCACTCCTCTCCTCTCTCGCCGGTCCTACAACACGGTACGTCACGCAGCTGGATCCTGTCGTCAGGCATAGCTCACCACGTGTTGCCCCGCCCACGGATCGGCGCCGGAGCGCACGTTCGAGCAGCAGAGCGCGGCGTCGGAGCGCTGAATAGCGACGGAAGCGGATACGGCTACCCGACATTGGCACCGAATCCCGCACTCCGGTGCCGATCTCAGATTGTCGTTGCCGATGCGCCTTCAAAGCTCGTCGAGGCCCAGCCCCTGGGACGGTGGCTGTGTTGCTTCCGTGCACCGCGACGCAGAAAGGGCAACTTCAGTGAACCGCGACACGGAAAGCGCGATAGAGGTTGGGTGCATCGCGAGCCATTAGATACGCAAAGCACCTGCACGCGTGGCCGTCCCGACATTCTGCGGCGAAGCACCGAGGGAAACGCGTTGCGCGCATATTGATTCGAAAGCGTAGGCACCCTTACACCGTACGATCGCCGCGTTAATGGACATCTTTTTAAAACAAATCGCCGCAGATACGAAGCATCGGGCAGCGTCGGCAGACCCGCGCGTCGCCCCATCTCCAAGGTTCTTTAGCGTCGCAGGGGTCCGTAGCCGACCATGCCCGCAAGCGCAAGAACAAAAACCTCGACTTTCGAACGCCAAACACCCTCTCCGCTCCCCGCTGCATTTTTTGTTTTTACATCCTGCGGCATAACGCGCTCTCGTCAACGGCTCTTGGTCGATACGCACAGCGCCTCACGGATTTCCGCACCTCAAAGTCGCTATTATCGATGTCCGACATCCCACCGCACGACGCCGACATGGGTAAGCACGAGTCAGTACCGCTCGCGCAGCTGTCTGATGCAGGTTTCCAGCGCATTTGACCGATACCGGTCGAGTCGCCCCGGGTCAGGACTCCACGCAGGAGGTCGGCCTTCAATTCGGTCACTACGCGACGCCGCCTACGGCCCCCATGCAATGGTCGCATCCCGGACCCCAGCACGCCACCTTCTACTATCCGATCAGTCCTTTCACGCCGGTGCACCACCAACCCCAGTCTCCGCTAGAAGACCCGTTCTGGGCCCCCGGGTTCAACCCGTTACCTTCGCAGTCCGATCCTTTCATCGGCACGCCGTCGCAGCCGTGCGAATACATCCCGATGAAGTCGCAGGAATACAGCATGGAATACGGCCCCACGAGCTCTCCCTCGCCGTTGGGCTCTTATCCCTCGCAGGGGACGGGCGGTACGCCCACTCCGACGCAGGTCGCGCAGCCGAGTCCGCATGCCGGCACACCGGTGGAGGCTTACGCCCAGCAGAAGCACATGTTTGCGCGCGGTGAGTCGTTCGCGTTCACCGAGTCGGACCGTTCTAACGGCGCAACAGCGGCCGCGGTCGACGATGGGAAAGGGAAAAAAAGAGCCCGGAGCGGGTCCGAAGCCACGGCGACGGATGAAGCAGGTAAGCGCTCCCCGCGCGGCGACACGGGCAGCATAGCTGATCACGCCGCGAAGGATCGAAAACGCAGAAGAGGAAAACGAAGGCCGCGACACCGTCCGAAAAGCGATGCACCGGATGCGGCGAATGCTTCGAAACCGGGAAGCAGCTGACTTCGCACATGCGGAAATGCGCCACCGACATAGACCTGACATTCAAGGGCAATGTCAAGGTCCGATTCGCTCGCGCACACGACACCGCGTACATATGCTACTGCGACTCCCATCCGCACGGGCATCCCTTCCGCAACAACGAGGCGTTCAGGAGTCACGTCCGATTGCCGGGAGGAGGCGCGCGACCTTGGGATCCTGAGGTTCGCAACCGTTCTCCATCCGCCTCGTCATTTCGACCACCACCTGACACCTCTACAGGGCGTCTTCGCTAAGCTACCGCGATCGGACCAAGCGGGTTCGGATCGCACAAGGACCGTGGTACTCAACGCGTCGGACGAAGCCAGTCGCCCGAGCACCACGCCGTTGCCAGACAGCACGGCGACTGCGCACGACCCGCCATCGGGGATCGAGCCGCGGAAAGGGGCTCGCCATGCCGTACCGCTCGCAAAGGCTCCAGGGGCCAGCGCGGTACGCGCCGCACCCTCCATTCGCGGTGTTACGGCGTCGACTTCCTCCGAGAAGACCAACACCGTACCTCGGGGCCTTAGGGCGAGGGCGGTCGTCGACAAACACGAAGGGGGACAGCTCGATCAGACACGCTGGCTCGCGCGACGGCTAGGGCTGGGAACGGTTCGCGCGTCGCCTTCGATCCGAGCCAGTCCGCAGCTGACCTCCCCTCAGCAGGTACCCGCAGCTCCGCAGCCGGATCCGACGGTCGAGGCGGAAGGCGCCGGTGCCCAGGTTAGCACGGAACGTTCGTTGGCAGGCAGTCCGTGGCCAACTGAAACCATCGTCAGATTCGGGCGGGGCAGCAGCCGAGTCCGGGGGACCGGGTCGACAGCGATCAATACGAGAGCGCGGTGCAAAGTGAAGAAACGGCACACCCGGTACGGCATCGTCTGCTCTCCTCATCGCCACCCGCATGCTGTTTCTCATCGCGTTCCTCGCGTTCCAAACCAGGCGGGCCCGCTGGGTACCGATACGGGCACGGAAGAACCGGCGGGCGGGGAGTCCCATCCGACGGAGTACACCACCGTAAGTCGCTCGACGCGCGTGTTTACTGTATCCATATCGCCGACTAACGCCTCGACGGAACCTCTGCGATAGGAGGGTCAGCTTCGTCGGAGCGCCCTGCTGGACTCCGCCAACCTGGTGATCAACGAACCGCTCCGACTGCTCGTCTGCACCAGTTGCAAGTGCTGCGTCGGAACGATCGACGCGGTCCAGCACGTCCGCAAGCATCTTCCGAACCACGGATCCCAGGCTTGGCAGCGACTCGAAGCGCATCTCGCTCGGACGATCGTTGCCCATCCGTATCTGCTCGAACGGCTGCCGGATCCGAGAACGCTCGACTGGAAGGGCCCCTTTCAGTGCCTGCAGACTTCCGAGGCCTTCGTTTGCAAGTACGAGGGCTGCGAATTCTTCACCACCAACTACCAGACGCAGCTCCGTCGACACTACGCCAAGGATCATGCGGATTGCGCGGAGCCTCCGAGGCAGAACGACGATCGGACCGCGCAGATGCGATTCGTCCAACACGTGCAGGCGTTGGTGCCGAACGACCCGCAATCCCGCATCTACGTATCCGGGCCGTTCGTCGGAGACCGAAGCGTTCCGTCTACGGAGGCCAAGTACCGGAGCGTCAGGGAGGAGATGCAGGACATGAACACGGTCGTCCTCGGCGAAAGTCCCAAGTCGATACCGTTCTGGCTCTCGGCGCTGAAGTGGCCGGAGCACGTCGTAGGATACAACACGTGCGACCTCTGCGCCCTGGTAGACGTCGGGAGCGACAAGACGGACCCGCTGGCAGGCATGCACGACCTGGTGCATCGGTACCTCAGGAAGTGCGAGCAGCTCGTCGCGGACTCTCCGCCCATCGTCCTCCAGCTGCTCGCGACGGCCGACGCGCACGCGGAGTAAGTCTGTCGCCTTTACCGTGGACAGGAGACGTCGTCGCTGATCCGACGCCCGCTTTTAGGCTGGAACACCGGCCGTTCAAGGTCCTCCAGCAGCGCGACACGCTGCGGAAGTACTCTCGCACCGTGGCCGCCTTACTCCTCATGATACTGAGGCTCGATCCGTCGGATCTGACCGCGTACTCGATACCCGGATGTGATCCCGGCGCGGAACCTTTCGTCAGCCTCCGACGCGCTTTGAGCCCCGAAACCGACGGCGACGACCAGAACGTCGCCTCGGAGGACGAGCTGATGGCCCTCGTCCACCGCACCTTCGGCGAGATCTTCCTGCGTTCCTGGGACCATCTCGAGACCGCAGACAACGCGATCCCGCACCCGGTGATGCGCTGCGTCGTGTTGCTGTCGATCCGATCCAACGGGCAGTTCAAGGAGGCCGTCCACGTCACCCCGCTCATGGCGCACATGCAGTACGCCATCCGGCTCTGCGCGCTTCGAGAGATCTACCGCACCGCGGAGGGCCGATCGGCGAGGGACCTGGAGGAGGCGGCGCTCGCCATCCGCCTGTTTTACACCAACGGAGGACGCAGCGCGTTCGGCGTCATGAAGAGCCAGGGCCATCTGATCAACGAGGTCGCCATGAGCAGCGACGGCGAGGTCAACGTCATATGGAAGGACCCGGTCAACTTCACCTCGCTCGTCTACAAAGGGTACGAGGTCACCCTGCAGCACCTGCACGACATCTTCAGGGACCTACAGGCCGAGGCTATGGCCAGCAAGCGCAAGGTGTCCCGCGGCCTGGCCGTTCACGTCGACATATCCGACGTCAAGGACGACATGACGAACAGGGCGCTGCGGTATTCTTTCCTCTCGGACCACCGCAACGAGGCCCTACACAGCAAGACCCGGTTTTTCGACGCGATCGTCGGCGACGCGACGGCTCGCAACTGGTTCTTCGTCAATCCCGACGAGCCGGATATGAGCCGGCTGCAGGTGGACGTGGCGCACGGGTTCGAGTGGCTCCGATGCCTGGCCGAGCTCGAGAAGACCCTGACGATGCTGTCGGTAGACCTCAGCGGTCCCCCCCCTAGGCTCACCGAGCTCGTGTTCTTGGAACACCTGAACGGTCCTTACGCCGACTCGATACGCGGGTTACGGTTCTTCGGCAAGTACCTCACGATCACCACGCAGTACCGAAAGCAGGGTCACTCCACCGCGTACGAGAAAGCGGTCCCGAGGCCGCTCGACGCGTTCACCGCTGACCTCCTCCTCCAGGTCATCGCGGTGTACCGACCTTTCGCGGCCTGGTTGATGCAGAAGCTCCGCCCCGAAGACGAGAACGCGGGCTCGGGTTACCAGAGGCTCATCTTCTGCGACATGCACGGGAAGGCGTTCGATCCGGAAGCCGTCAGCGTCGCCATGATGGCCCACTCGAAGAAGGTATGCGGCGTGCCCCTGGGCATCAACGCCAGGAGGCACGTCTTCAAAGCCTACCGACGCGACCTCCTGGCCATCCACGACGTCGCCCCCGAGATCGAGGTGCAGATCAACCTCGAGCACATGGACGCCGTCGGCATGGGTCACAGCGACTCGGTCGATCGGAGGCTCTACGCGCGGTCCAACACGTCCGACGGTCAGTACAGCGGACACATGCTGCAGGCCATGTTCGAGCGCGCGGCCCAGTGGCAGGTCCTCATGCGCGTGGTGCCCGCAGGCGTCCTGCTGCCTCACGAGGAGTGCACCGGAGACAAGTTCGAGTCGCTCCTGGGCGCGGGTCTGTTCAAGGAATGCGCGAAAAAGAAGGACGAGTCGGACAAGAAGCTGCAGGACGCCGTCAGGATAGCGGTGAGGGAGGAGCTTCGGGCCACGTCTCCTTACGGTACCGCCCGCGACGCGCCGCTTCCCGACGCGATCCTTTCCGCCATCCGCGCGGAAATCACGTCCGCGATGGAGGCCGTACTACGCTCCGTCGCCGCTCCCGGAAGAGCGTCCGAGGCGACCTCCCCGGCCGCTATCCGCGGGGCTGCACCGCTCGAGGGGAACGAACCGCAGGCGCCAGCGGAAGCAGCCATCGCGATTCGCGGCCAAGGTACGCCGTCCGGACCTCGCGGCTTTGCGGAATCATCCCCTTCGAACGGGGCTGCCCAAATCGTTCACGGTACGCGACGCAGCACCTTCGTATTTCCCGCTCGACGCATACTCAACCCGCGTCCCGCAGTTCGCCCAGAGCACGTCGCGGGACCAGGTCCCACGCCGGACGCCGCCTTTCCGAGCACGCCGATCTCCACGCGGCGTCCCGTGGCGTCCGCCCCTGCCCGACACAGCAAGGCCGCTCCGAAGGTCGATTCGAACGGGCCGAACCAGCCATCGGCCACTCCCGCGGGCGGCGCACCGCGTCCGTCGAGTTCGGATCGCCCGAGCGCGTCGGGACCGAACGACGCGAGCAGCAAAACGCGACCCAAACCTCGACCCGTGAAGCCCATCGCCATCGCGGCTCCTCAGCCATGGCCCTCGAGCTTACCGCCCTCCACACCCGGCTACGGACATCCGGGTGAGTTAACCCTCCGCGCTCCGCGTACGCGAACTTTTCGTCTGACGCGCATCCTCGAGACGACGAATCGGTATCGGACGGTGACCCGGGTTCCCCGCGATTGCAAGCGTCGGATTCCGAGATCGAAGACTTCTCGACCCAGCAGTCCCTGAGCACCGTACGATCCCAGAAGAGGGCGGAGAGGAAGATCTACCACTGGAAGCCCCTCGTCACGAAGCACATGCGACGGCTGTACGGGGAGGGATGCACTTACCGGTCCTACGGGCAATGTGAGGCCATATACGAGACGCTCATACAGCGCAACGACCTGCAGGTGGTCCTACCGACCGGCGCCGGCAAAACCACGCCGGTCATCATCGCCGGCCTCGTGGACAATTCCACCACGGTCCTGGTCGTTCCGCTCAAGGTCCTCCTAGACGAGGCGGGAAGGAAGCTCGAACGCGCCGGCGTCTGTCACCACATATGGAGGGCGGGAACCATCCCCCCTCCGACCAGGGTGGTGGTGGTGAGCTACGATCGCATCGGATCCGAAGATTGGAGGAGCGCGATCACCGAGCACCACATCTCGACCCCGTATCCCGTCACGCGATTCGTGTTGGACGAGGCGCACGTCCGGCTCACTCAGTGCGAGTTTCGGTCCGACATCATGGAGAACATGTGGAAGGTCAGGATGTTCGGCGCCCAGGTCATCGCGCTCACCGCGACTCTACCCCCCCTCGCCGAGGACCACCTCGCGGACCTGCTCCTCCAGCAAAATCCGATCGTCATCCGCGAGCCGACGGTTCGACCGAACCACAAGTACATCATGAAACGCCCTGTGGAAGGAACGCAGATGCCGGCGCGCATAAGAAGGACGATCGTGGTGCAGCAATGTCTGGACACCTATCGCGATGACACGGATCGCTTTCTGATCTTCGTCCCCTCGCACGCCTACGGAGAGACGGTATCGAAGTACCTCGGATGCGACTTCTACTGCAGCCTCTCCAAGCAGGAGAAGGACCTCCCCCCTTACGCGCGTCAGAGGTTGGAAGACGAGCGACAGCAGATGATCGCGAGGTTCGAGGACACCCCGGGAGGCTGCCTGGTGGCCACGTCCGCCCTCGGAGCCGGCTACGACTACGCGCACATCCCTTGCGTCGTCGTCGCGTACAGCTTCCCGTGCATACTCGAGCTCGTGCAGCAGATCGGGAGAGGCGGACGCGACGGCCGACCGTGCCTGGTCCAGTTCATGCCCGCGAGCGACGCGTTCTCCGGTAAGGACGTGAACCCGAAGGAGGACATCCTCGGTCACAACCTGGGTCGGAACCTCGCCGGAACCAAGGAATGCATTCGGTCCGTCATCGCGTCGTGCGTGGACATCGCACCGTCGCGCTGCTCCGAAGTGCCCGGCGCCTTACGATGCTCGAATTGCGAGGACCGCAACGAAACCGGTGAGCGACGCGACGCGGCTGCTTCCTCGTTCCGATCGGCCCTCCTCTGACTGTTCGCTCCTCAGACCGATCCGATGAGCCGGTCGACACGTGGACTCCGTCGGAATATTTCGACGAGGAAGATATGCAGATCCGGCTCGGCGACGAGACGGATTTCCGAGCGGCGCAGCGAAAGGTCGACGAACGATGCGCATCCGAGGCGCTGGCCCACGCCGACATGGAAGACCGCATATTGCGGGCGATGCGACCCTTCGCGGACTGCTGCATCGGATGCTGGTTCTCGCACAACCGCTGCGTGGAAAGGCCCACCGTCGCTCGCCACGAGTCCATCCTCGAGTGCGGCTCTGTCGTCGACGACCCCTCCGGAAAGGACTCGTACCTCGAGTTCTCGGGTCGACTCAAGTACGAGAAGCAAGCCCGCACCCCTCGGATCTGCTGGTTCTGCCACGTACCTCAATCTTCGGGTCGCATGGGCAAGCACGGCAACCGAACGACCTGCGAGTGGAAGGACGTCCTGGTGCCGTTCCTCTGGCACCTCACGAGGCGCGACGACCGAGGAGAGTCCATCTGGAAGGACCGGTACCGGCTCCGATCTCTAGACGAGTTCGTCCCCTGGCTCATGAAGCGGGAGGTGGCGAAACCTTGGGCGTCCAACATCGTCCGGTGTTTCGTGGAGACGATCGAGTTGGACTACGCGACGGTGTTGGAGATCGACGGGTAGGCGGCGCGGGGCGATCCGACGTAAGTTAGACGAACCTCGGCGTTGCGTGTAAAGTATTCGTCGGTACCTTATGCACCGCTCGATTCAGGAAAGGCTAAGACGGCGGTCCGAGCGCGTTTACGACGTGCGTAACGTACTTGCCGGTGCGCGACCCTTCTCGGTCGGCGTCGTTCCATTGGATACCTGTTACGCCATCGCTCCGAGCGCATTTATCGCGCGCAACGACAGCGCATTCGACGTTCCGAGTCGCTCGGTAAAATCGGAAAGCGTCGCGCTCGTTATTATGCGGTTCCGAAGCGGTTATTATATACATTTCACGACGCGATCCCCACCCCCCCTCCTCCCCCCCGTTCAGTTCTCCTCCATAGCCCCGACCCCTTCGTCGGATCCCTCGGCGTCGACTAGGGGGCTGTGGGGCTCCGGGGCCGCGATGTCGTCCGCCCTGGCCACCGGGCGGATCGGCGAGTGCGACGGATCGTTGGGGTCGGTACCGAACACCGGCGGCGGGTCGCTAAAGTCGACCTGGACCCTCCGGGCCACCTCGCGAAGCTTATCGACGTAGAAGGTGATGCGCCGGTCGAGGGCTCGCGTCGTCGCCTCCACGTCTTCGCAAAGGTTCGAGACGGCCTCGGACTGCTTGTTCACCATCGGGACGATGGCTCGGAGCTTGTCGTCGAACTCTTCGACCATGCGGCAGGCCTTTTCGACGACCGAGCCGTCCTTGTCGCCGGCGACGACCAGCTCGCGCATCTGGTTCTTCATGTCCTTGATCTCCGACGCGCTCGACAGCGCGTACTTCTTCACATGAAGCTGGGCGCGGGCGGACTCCTCGGTCATCGCGACGACCGACTCACCGATGGTCGCAGCCATCCGAGAGTGCGTCCTCTCCACGCTCCTCTCCAACTCCTCGCCCATCGCATCCAACCGGTTGCCCCAGATCGCGACCTGGTCCGCCATGAATTCCGCCCACTCCTCGGCGGTGGTAGGGACGCGGGTGGGCCGGGAGGGGACGCAGATCATGTCGTGCCCCATGCAGCTACGGCACGGCCTGTTCTCGTCCGGTTTCGCGGTGAACCGGACACATAGCGACTGCCGATGAATAACGCATCCCATGCACTGCGATAGGTGCGGATTGTCAGCGCAATCCGAGCGATATCCGACGTGGGACTCACGCGTTCGTCGAGGGAGTAGAATTTCTGGTTCATGGTGCGGATGAAGATGCGGAAGCGGGCGAACTCAATCGGCGGCGGTCACCGGCGATACGAATCGAACCGTCACGTGCTCGCTTTTGGGAACTTCCGCCGGAACCGGTTCGGGGCAAGGATCCCTCGAGTCGGAGACGTGTATACACGCTGTCGTCTGAGCCGGTTCGTCGGGTGGCATCGCAAACGCTCCATTATATTACATACGATTCCGACGGAAATAGATAGAGCTACAGCGGGGTCGCGTACTTGTCGGCGACGCGCTGCGCGTTGAGCTTGTCCAACCGCGCCGAAAGCCGAATGTTGTCCAAGGAGACGGCGGTGAACGCGGCCAGCAGCCCCAGGCTGTGCGCCTCGCGCTCGCGGATTTGGTCGGCGGGTTCACGCGCGCGTACGGCGGTCGCGAGGATCCTGCTGGCGGAGGCCGCGAACGGGTTGTAGTCGACCGGCGGCGGTCCGAGCTGCATGTCGTCCAGGCGAAGGTCGTTCGGGTCGTTTGGGTCCTCGTCGCCGTCGCGGACCTCGACCGGACCGCGCCGTTCCGGGTGAGAACCGGTCGCCGGGGCCTCGCGACGGATCGTTGCATCTCCTCGCTTCGTCTTGAAGCGCTCCTGCGTGCGAGGCGAGGGGGGCGGCGAGATGATTTGCACGTCGCTGTCCGACGGCGGTGGCGAGACGATCCGAACGTCGCTGTCCGACGGATCGTCGGGCGACGCTCGCGACGGGCCCGCCGAACGCGACGGCAGCATCCTGGCCGGCTTGCGGCCCTTCTTCAGGTTGACGCCCCTGCGCCTCCCGGTCCTTCCGGCCCCTTTCTCGCAGCGGACCTTGCCCTCGTAGCACGGCGCGCACGCCGCACCAAGCGCTTCCTGCATCTCGCAGTCCAACCCGTGCTTCCTGCACCGACGGCACGGCGGCGAGTGAACCCTCTGATATGATTAGCGACCCGCACCCGACGAAGCGAAGATGGAGGTTCGACGTACCGGTCCGCCAGATGGAGGCGGCAGCGCACCGCTGGGTCGCGGGCCCTCCTGAGGACGGTGCTCGGATTGCTAGAGCATCGGGTTAAGCTCCGGAGACGACGCGGCACGTTTAGAGCACTCACCGCGACAGCGTCCGCATTATCCTTCATCTTCGCGCGACGATCCGTGCGTTTCGCCTTCTGCATGCCAGGTGAGAGACGCGAGTAAAGCCGGAACATTGCCTACCGATTTCAGGCGCGAACGTCGCGAGCCCTGTGAGACATCAGCGCGGTTCCGTAACGGCACGCGCGCGATGCGCACCTTTCTCTCCACGTAGTCTTCCGAGTCGCCCGGATCGTCGCTTTGCCAGGAGTCGTACTCGCTCTCGCCGTCGGATCCTTCGTCCGACTCCGGACGATCTTCGACCGCGTCCTCGGCATAGTCTTCTCGCGAGTCCGGGAGGGGCTCGCGCGCGGACCGTGCTGTCGAAAGCAGCTGCTGCTTGTGTTGAACGCTTATCGGCATCGCGGTGTCGTCGGATCGAGGATGTTGCGATTCGGTGGGGCTAGGAAGGCTCGTGAGAGAGAGGACAGTGTAGATGCACGACACGCAGCTTTCACTCAGTCTTGAGGCCCACGGCACCTTCGTCACGTGCGTACGGACGCGTGGGTGGAAAGGGTCGGTCGGATCCGCGGATGCCGCGTCGGACTTCAGCGGCTCGCCCTCGAACGGGGCGGACGGTCACGTGCGGTCGTTTGCGAGTCCCCGAGTCGCGCTTCGTCTCCCTTCGCTCTTCCGCTCACCGTCCGACATGCCGAAAGACGTCATTCCGCTCCCCGCTAGCGCCGCCGAGATGACCGACGAGCAGTACCACGCTTTGTTGGCGGAGCTCCAGGGACAGGAAGGCGCGGTCCCGATCGAATCCATCTCGGTGAGTGTCGTCGGATTGTGGTTCGACGGGCCACCGTTGACCTCCCGTGCCGAACAGCAGAGCGACTCCGCGTCGGTCGACGCCACGAGCGAGGAGGAGGTGGACCAACTGGTAGAGGACGTGGTCATGGTGAGCGTCCTCCGACGTACCGTCTGTTCGCCCCGGTACGAACGCCCTTTCATCAGGGCGAACCGGAGTCCAGCGCCCAGCAGCCGGCCACCTCTCGGACCCTTCGATCCCGGGCGGAACCCTCTCGCCAAGCACGAGCCGCACCGCAGAGGACATCAGAACGACGCGACTCGTCGGTCAGGATCACCGCACCGGTCAGAAGATCCGCCCGTCAACGGGGGAGATCCGGGGAGACCGAAGCCTCGGGGAAGGGTAGCGACGCGTCGAATTCGCCCGCGCCCGACACGAAGAAGAAGAAGAAGAAGCAGGGGACGTCGGACGTCGCCTCGCAAGCGGCTTCCGTGCCGGCCTTCGCGGCGCATCCGCAGACCGTGTACGATCCGGCGACGATGGTCCCGATCCGCACCGCCCATTCCGCGTCGGCGAGCCGGAGCCCAGCCGTCGACACCGCGCGTACACCCGATGACGGGCCGGTCGTGGATCTGACGCCGGCCGTTCGAGGGTCTGGCAACGCGTCGACGTCTCGCCAACCCGCGTCCGCCGGCATGGTCATAGGCACCAACCCGCCTCCCCTCCGACCCGTCCAAGCGCTACGACCCGCGTCGACCATCCCCACGACAGATAGAGGGCGACCCGTCCAGCCTGCGAACCCGTCCGCCGCTCGCATCGACGGAGCGACGAGACGTAACATCGCCCCAGCTCGCGCTTCGGCAGAGGCTCTGGCAGCGGCGAGCTCCTCGGCGGCATCTCCTGGTCAGCGCGAACGGAGCCGGGATGCGGATCCCGCCGTGCATCGCGGATCCGGCGCCGATCCGTCGTTGGCCACGCGCCCACTCTTGGACCTCGACCGATCGTGGTCCCAAAGGTTGGACGCGATAGCCAGGCGACTCGACGCGGTCGACGACATCGCGAGGGACGTGAGGACGCTCGAGCTCAACGTACGCGCGGCCCAAGAGCTCCGAATGCAGGCCGAGGGCGATCGCGAGGAGCTCCTGAGCAAGGTGACCGAGGTCCAGCAGCAGATTGCGGAGACCCGCCGCGCGCAGGCCGAGCAGGGCGATGCTCTCAGACTGAACCAGGTGTCGCTCGCTCAGGTACATAACGAGGCCGAGGGACTTCTCAGCGTCCTGCTTCGGTTGGGTGCCGCGATCAATAGCAGGAACTGGTCGTGATCCGATCCTTTCGCTCTGGCCGTGGAACGGCGTCGCGTCGTCGTGTATTATACAACTACGTATCGTCTTTTCAATATGTACCATGTGGTGGCAGTGCAATCTCCACGGCAGCGTCCGACGCGACGGCACCACCCGGAGCTCCTCTACGCGAAGCCCGTACGCATCTTTGCCTTTGCCTTCGACTGCCGCCAGCACGCTCGCATGCGTCGCCCTCGCAACGCCATGTCACATCCCACCTCTGACAGCAGGCAGACCTCCGTTCACGGCGCGGCCGTCCCCCCGTCGACGGACGAAGCGACCGCCGGCGAGGGTGCGCACGGGAAACGGAAGGCCGACGCGTCGCCCGCCCCGAACGCGATGCCGAAAAGGAATCGACAGGTGCGCAGGCCGTCGCGTTGTAGATACGGCGCGTTTCGTAAGTTCCGACGGCCCTGACAGGAGTCGCAAGCGTCGGTCGAAGCCGCCGCGTCGACCGGCGACGAGGACGAGACCGAATACGACCGATCGCTGCGCCACGTTTGGGGCATTTATAACGAGGTGCGTACTACGTTTCCCCCGGTAAACCGGTCTTTGATGCTCGGAATAGAGCCGTCCAGGATCGCTGATCTGCACGCGCTGTCTGAGCAACAGCGTCCGGTGCGACGGCAAGCCTGCGCCCGACTCCCCGTGCTCGCGGTGCGTTGAAGACCGGGTCGAGGACCGTTGCCTCCCGCGATCCGTCCTAGGGGAGCTCGACGATACGCGTCACGCCCTCATGCAGCACGTCTCCATGATCGAAGAGCTCGTCAAGGCCATCGACGCCGAACAGGAGCGCGGCGTCATGACCATGGACCCGGATCCGGTGCGAGCCGCGCTCGACAAAATGCGGGAAAACGCATTGGACCGGATGGCCCAGATCATGCGATCGTATTGAACGTGGGTCAGAGCCGTGCAGACGTGTCCGTCGGTTCGATGTACGATATGGTTTTCGTCGGTTCGACGCGTTATAATACAAAGGTGCGACCGATGGAAATAAAGATCCGCACGGCGCTCATGTGGTTCCTCCGATGGACAATGAACGACGTTTCATGCCGCGACGTCAGGTGTCGAGACGTTCCATCCGCGCTCCGCGATGTCCGTCGCGGCATTTGGACCGACTTTGTTGCCACGGAACGATCGTGTCACGTGACAATCCGTCGGTCCATTCGCTCCATGTTGTCCGTGCTTGCCCCCCATCCACCATGTCGAACCCTGCCTCCGGACCCTCTCGACCCGCGTTATCGAAGGAGGAACTGCTCGCTCTCGTGAAGGAGCTTCGAGCGAAGGACGCCGCAGAGACGGCCGCGCGGTCACCCGCCGCGGGGTCGGTGCCATCGACCGTCCTCGCGTCCGGAGCAGGCTCGGCGGAGCGCGCGGTGAGTGAACCCTGCACGCTTGTAGGATGTGATCTTACAGCGGCACGCGATCCGACGCAGGAACCGGCACGCGCCCCCGAGGATCGCCAGGCGGACCGGGCGATCCCTCGTTCCGAGCGGTCTGAGTGGGCCGCGATGACGCCCGCGGAGCAGTGGACGCGGGCGGCTCACATCACCAACGACGCCACGAAGCGATTCTGGCTGAAGATGGAACAATTCACCGACCACGCCAGGTCGGCGATGTTCGAAAACTCGCTCACCACCGCAACCACCGTCGGCTCGGGCATCGAGCGCATCGCGAAGGAGTCGGTGAAGCAGTCCCGCGTCATCCAACTGGCGATCGTCGGACAGATCAACGACGACGTAGACGAGGACGACGTGGAGGAGGACCAGCCGCCCGTCCATCCCGCCTAGACCGCCGTTCGCCGCATCGCTCGGACTCATGTATGTATTAGCAGTGGTCCCTGCAATTCGAATACGTCCGATATGCCGTCTTTCGAGGCCACGGTCGCCGTCGCCTCATTCCATAATCGCGCAACGCGGCTTCGTTGCATTGGTACGTATACATGGCGAAAAAAAAAAAAGACCCGACGATAATACCGATCCGTCCCATCGTCGTCGCGAGCTTCGGACCTCGCGCCCTATCCAAAGCGCGACTAATACGACCTCTGCTGGGACGTCGGTACGAGCGGTGGAGGCGTGCCAACTTCCACGCCGACCCTCTGACCGATCTTTCTGATCGCGCCAAGCAGGAACTCGAAGCGTTCCTGCGACGCGATGGCATCGATGCACGCCGCGTGCTCGTCGAGATCGGCGCGAATCAATTCCATCGCGGTCGCCTGCGACGCCATATCCTTCCGCAGCTCTCGTAAAAGGGCGGCGTGCCCGGACACGGTAGTTTCCAAGTTGCGGAACGCTTCGTTCGCGTCCCGAAGGGCGGTGGCGTTCATGGCGGAGTACTTCTCGACGGTGGCCTGGGCGGTCTCTGATTCCTGGACGATGTCGGCGATGGCGCTGCGGATGACGAGCGCCATGGCCTCCTGGCTCGCTTCGGCCGCTAGAGCGAGGCTCGCCTCCATCTCTCCCAGCTTATTCTCCCATTTCCCGAGGATGCTGGTCATGAAGGCGCCCCACTCGAGGGCCGTGGTCGGGTGACGGGCGGGCGCGTGCTCGGATAGGTCCGTCGGATCGGGCAACGGGGCGGCGCAATGCCGTCTGGAGACGGCGCAGCCGTCGCATGGTTTGTCGGCGGTCGGCGTCGCCGTAACCCGGACGCAATTGGCGACGCCCTGAATCATGCATTGCCGGCACTGCGTACGGGACGATCGTAAGTCTCGTACGCCGGCGTAGAGAAGGTATGTGACGTACCCGAGCGGAACCCGCGTAAGACTGTTTCTTTGGCGCCATATCGGTGGGACGCGATGGCGGAGATGGTCAAGTTGGTTCGTCGCCCGTTCTGTGCTATCGGATCACGTGCCCGTCGGGCCATACAGCGAACGACGGTTTCGCGCTCGGAATGGGAGAGGTTCACCGCGAGCCGACGCCATATCGATGGTTCACGTGGTACAGGAGAGTTGTCGTGCACTGCCCTGTAGTGCCTCACTGCTCCGACGTTGGTATCGCAATGCACCGGTAGTGGTGCTTGAGTCATGGATATCAGTATGACGTAGATACTCTCAGACTTGTATTTATTGCGCGTGAAGAGACGACGAAATACTAGTTAACTCCTGGTTTATTCAAAGCAGCGAATTGAATACGCCAGAACCGCAGAGTTCGAGCATCTACGTATACGCTAATCGTCCGGAAGTTCGAGGGCCCTCTTCATGCCGTCGTGAAACTTCCTCGCGCCCGCTTGCACTTTCAGGCTCATGCGAATCCGTCGATGCTGTAGCAGCGCTCCTACCATGGCCCCGGCGAGCTCCGCAGACTGGCAAGCGCGGTTGGTAGTCTCGACGTAGCTCCGGTTCAGCGCGTCCTCCGTCCTCATGAGGCAGGCGACGCTTTCGGCGTACGGGTTGCTGGAAGTGGACGGACCCTCGTCGTCGAGACCCTCGGCGTTTCCATAAGAGCCCCTCACCTGAGCATCCGGGATGCGCGGGATCTATCAGCTCCATCGTTCACGCGTGGCTCGCGTCACGTACGTTGTGTTCCCCAGGTCCGACGGTAGCGCGAGCCCGATTGTTTACTCCCTGCTCGGGTTGCCTTTGCTGCATCGTCTGGTCAACCGGTTTGGTAAGTGTTGCGACGCGGATACATGCGTACCCCTCGACCGTGCGCGGGCGATGCCGTGGCCGCTTCATCGTTGTCGACCCGCGTCGGCTCCGCCTGACGGGCTTGCTCTTGCTGTCGTCGCGCCTCGAGCGTATCCAGGACATGACGCATGCGAGGATACTTAATGTCATCGGGAACGCGGCGACGGGATTTCATCGTCGGCGAGGTGAGCGACGTTAGCCGTGCCGACGTAAGCGGACGGGTGGGTGTAAGAAACCGACACACTACGATGCGCGTCGGTTCCCAAACAACGTGTTCCCACGGGTACGGTGGCGGAAAATGCGACGCTGCAAACGGACCTTTCCGTATCCGTTGTATGATCTGTCCGATGGTCCCTTTTTAGTGCGGGACGGGGCCGCGCCCGGATCCGACGTCGCTTATCGTCGCATCCAGAGCATTTGTGACTATCCGATGGGCCGTCGATCGTCGTACGTACGTTCGCCGACCTTGACGATCGCGTGCGTCGACGTGTTAAGGTTTCCACGCGATCCGATCCGACGTTGGATGAAGTCGGGGCACGTCGGATCCGTGCTCTTTACGCTCTGTCTACGCGCCTCCGACGCCTCCATGCCCCGCAAGCCCGATGCACGCCGCCGAGGCCGTGTCGCGAATCCGCGCGATACGCTTGACATGCAGTCCCTAACCATGCGGATCCTGGACTTCGTAAACGAGCCGTACTTTGACGAGTGCCTGCGGATAGCGCTTTCGTCGGTGCGCAGCTGGGCGTATATCTCTCGCTTCCCTTACTTACCGCTCATCCGTCGCAGTACGGTCGCGAAGCGGCCGTGGACGTTCCCGACCACGGTAGACAGGGCGAGGACGTGGTACGCGATGTTGCTTACGCGCGACCGAAGCATAACGCTCACCCACACCAGCCTATGGAAGTCGATCCGTCCCCGTCCCCGCCACCGCCAAACCAGCTCGCACTTCGCGAGCGAACCTCGCGTGGGCGAAACACGTCCAAAGATCGTACAGCGGCTCGGTCCGGAAGGGTCCTACCCGATGCACACGAAACTGTCGGCACGCCCGTCGAGGGATCTTCCACCGGATCGAAACAAGATCGCGTCGCGCATCCGACGTTCGAAGCCGTGCGTGGCTATACCGTCAGGTCCGTCCACCTTAGAACATTCGCAACCGGATCCATACGCTGACGTCGAGGCCACTGTCCCCAGCGCTCAGGGCACGGATGGGACGTTTCGACTCGGGCCAGCGGCTGGCGTGGCCGGACCTCGGAGCTCGGACTCACCGTGCGTCCCGCACGCCTCTCCGCCCTCCATCGTGCCCGCATCGGCAGACCTGAATCCCATCCGCAGGGTACGCCGTCCGTCCAGGGGGGTCGATGAGGAAACGCGGGACACAGGGTCCTCGTCCGAGAACACCTTCGCGGATATCGTGCGACGCCTTCAGGGCATCGATCGCATCCGAGAGCAGGTCGAATCCCAACGCGAACTGCTCTCCTCGACGACGGACCTCATCGGCCGCTTAGCGGCGGATCGCGTCGCATCCGCTGAGACCCTCGACCGGATCGTGGACGAGATGCGAGAAGTCACGCGAGTCCAAGCCTCGCATATGGAGACGCTGAAACAGCAATCGGAGGCGATGCGTGCTATGTCCGAAGATATCAAGACGATATCGGAGACCGTCGCCACGCTTTGGGGTGCCTTGGGGAGAGTCCTGCAGGTCACCATGTCGAGTACATAACGAATACGACCGACCGCTCTTTTGTTCGTTACGCTTTCTCCCCGCGGTGTCGTGGTATGTACATCGTACCACCCTTCGGCGGGACAGCAATCCATGCGATGACCGGCGCTCGTGCTGCGTTGGACAGTAGGTCTGTTCAATTCTGGGCTACAGAGTTTTCAGCTCGGAGCTCGTAGCTCTGTAGCTCGGGCACCCGGCCTTGCCACGTGATAATTTCGGCGGTGTGCAGCCCCGTAGCCCGGCGACCCAGCCTCGACACGTGGTATTGCCTCCGACGGTCGCCGGAGACCTCATTCCTCTGTTGCTAGATATTCCAGCATATATGCCGCGCGTATCGCCTGAGCAGGCATTGAGAATACTATCGTACCTGTATAGAGGCCTGATACAACTTGTATGGGAGGATAAACGCCATGAACGCATAGTCTACTGCTCCGGCGCAATATCCAAAACTGGGTGCCACACCGGCGGAATAATCACGTGGACAGGCCGGGTCGCCGAGCTACAGAGCTACGAGCTACGAGCTGAAAACTCTGTAGCCCATAATTGAACAGACCTAGTTGGTACGTGCTGCCTCGGACAGTTGGTAAATGTTCCGATGTCGGGAGAACCCGGCATCCGCAGAGGCATCCGCTGCGGGCTTGATGCTTCTTGTCCGTCACCCCCATCTTCCCGTTCCCCCAGCCCCCTGCCCTCTCTTTCGATCCGACCGTTCTCGCGAGGATGGATGAGGAGACCGTGTCCGCCGCGCTCATGTCCTTGCACCCCGATACGGCCCTAGCGCTTCTCGAGGACCTGGAACGTCATTCCAGAGAGTACAACAAGCCCGTGCCCCGTACGCACTCGCTTGCGGCGAGGTCGGGATCCCAACGCCAAAGTAAGGCTCGGTCGAGCAAGAAGCAGGCGGTCGGAGCATCGACTCGCACGAAGATGCCGAGCCCGATTAGAGGAGTGGGACGCGTTCCTATTCTCCGACCGGCACAGGTTGACACGTTCCGTTTTGCAGTCTCAGGGTACCGCCGGCTTTGTTGCGGTCGATTCTCGCGAAACGGCCCCTGGCGGACGAGCCGCATTTGCGTGGTGGCTCTATCATTCGGTGCGTCTTCGTTTCGCAGCCGTGTGTTCGCGAAACCGCGGCTCATCCCGTTCGCAGAACAGGAAATCGATGACCATATGCAAGCGGTGCGTCAAGAAAATGTACATGTGCGACGGGAAGACAAACGACGCCGACGTATGCGAATATTGCCGTCGCGACCGGTGCCCTCGTGCATGCGTCAAGCAGCCGGAGCTGTCACAATATCAGCAGCTGTCTCGCGAGGCTAACAGTCACGTCCGCTTGTTGGACGAGCTCGCGAACATCGTCGACGATCCGTCCGACGCGTTCTCCAAGGCGTTGGATTCGCTTCGATCCGAGATCAACCAGGATCACAGGCAGTACAAGCGGGCGTTCGGTGGCAGGTAAAGGCGGGCATAGGCACTAGAAATATGCGTCGGACCGCGTCAGGCCGGCGAATAAATGTTTTTATTTGTTCTGCGACGTGTATGCGCCACGCGAAAGCACGAAGCTAAAATAAGTCGGCGTGGCGATGAGATACCTACGCCGCGTCAGGCAAACGAGACGATCGCTTCGATCCGATCTCTCGCTCGTACCGAAACCGTCATGTCCACCTCGTCCCACGTGTCCCCCGACACGCATTCGCCGCGCTACGCCGTCGACGCTCCAGTGGACGACCCTACGACGTTCCTCGAGGGATCTCAACGCGAGGTGGAAGCCATGCTGGAGGACCCGGTAAGCCCTCCGAGACAGCGTCGTATATCCTCGCGAGTTACCACCGTTCACCCGTTCGCCCGAACAGGTCGGTTCGGAACCTGCAGCGGAAACCACCGGGTCCGGTGTAATGACCATGGAACGTTGGGAGCGCATGAGCGATGCGGAGCGTTGGATCAGGGCCGCCGTGTTGACCGAGTACGTCAGCGACAGATATATGTCCGCCCTGGACCGGTTCGAAGCCGGCGCCGTCAAGATCCTTCGGGATAACTCGCACAAGACGGCCGTCGCGATGGCGGACGGTTTGAAGGCGATCGTGCGAGGTACGAACGAACTTACCGACATCATGGTGATGGCGTTCGAAGAAGATTCCACGACGCACGATGCCAGCAAGAATCGATCGTCGGGGACATCGCGCCCTTCAGACCGCCGGTCCTAACGGTTACCGGATCGCGTCGACGTTGCATCGTACGGTCTCGTAGATCCGAGGGCGATAGGAACGCTTCTACGCTACGTTAGTCGTCGACGGTCGTGTACGGAGGATAGCGCCCAGCGTAATTCACTCAGTTTTCGTTTTGACCCGGGCGCATCGAAAGTCATCGTTAAAGTCGGCTATGTACATGACAATGTCCGACGTCTGTCCTCTAATCGTCCGCCATGAGCTCGTCGCGCTCGTCCGCGGACCCGAAAAGAGGGCTTCCGATCGTCAGACGACCGATGGGGGCGGTGGGCAGCGCGGGCGGGTGCGGAGGCGAGGGGGTGGAGTCCCCGGGTAGGAACAGAGGCTCCGGAGGACGGCCGATGTCGATGTTCATCCTCGACGCGACCGTAGCGAGCTTGTCGACGATCCACCGGAACTTCGCATCTTGATCGGCGTTCGCGGCGGTAGCCTTGTCCAGCTCTGCGGCCAACCGGTTGATGGTCTCCGTTTGCCTATTGACGAGCGGGACGACGTCGTTGGAGACGGTGCCGTGGAGCGCGTGCAGCATCCCGAGGGCCTTTGTCGTGGTGACCTTGGCGCTGGCGTCGCTCGAGGTGAGCTTTTCGACGGCGTCCTTCATCTCCTTGAGATCCGACGCGCTGGATAGCGCGTACTTCTTGACCCTCTTCTGAGCGGCCGCGGTGTCCCTGCACATGGCCTCCACCGAGGATGCGATGGTCTTCTCCATCGCGCGATGGGACTTCTGAATGGCGTCCTCCAACGTATCCTCCACCTCAGCGATTCTCTCCTCCCAGCGCCCGACCTCCTCCACCATAAATCCGGCCCATTCTTCGGCCGTCGTCGGAAGCGATCCGCTCGGTCCCGGAGGGACCTCCGGGGCGTGCACGTCCTTCGCGCACGTCAGCCGGCGTCTTTGGCAAGCCTCGCATGGCCGTTTCGCATCGGGATCGACGGTCGATCGGAGGCACGCCTCCTCGCCGTGCGTGCGGCATCCGATGCACTTTGAAGAACGTTAACGAGAAGCCGAAGCGATCCTAAACCGTTCTGCTTACCATTTCATCGCCGACGTAGCTTTGCGTTCGGTGCGAGGGCATATCGACGGTTAGAGGGATGAGTGTTGCAGAGCTTCGAGACCGCGCGTCCGAGACGTGACGTTGCGCCACGTGCCTCGCTCGCGACGGCGCGGTATGCCTCCGGCGACGGGGACTGAAGTTCTTTCCTTGGCGCACGCGAGCCGTATTACGGTTTACTCGTTCGCACCCAGGTAGTATACTTTTCGCATTAAGTACATTGTGTATATACGATCCTAAAACGATAAGCGTCCGGCGCCACCGGCGGGTCCGTGAGTCTATGCGCTACAAAGTCACCGCTCGGCCGCTTCCACCTCCTCCTGGACTTGGATCCGGCCCATCTGGCTCTTCATCCGAACGTTTTGCAACGCGACCGCCACGACCGCGATCATAAATTCGTCGCGAGTGAACCAGTCCTCGCGGACGGCGTCCCTCCACTCGTGCGCCGGCCGTTGCAAGCCGCGGATCCGTGCAGCAGCGGAGCTGTATGGGTTTTGCGCTTGGGGTGGGCGGGCTTGCGTCTCGACGACTGACCTGTCCGCGGATCGGCCTGCCGACGGATCGCGATTGGACGATTGGGCCGGCTTTGCGCTTTTCGACGTGGCCGGCTTCTTCGCCTTTCCTCTGTTCGTCTGACCGGACCTGCCATGTCCCTTACTGCATCCGAGCCTCTTCGAGTAGCAGCGAAGGCAGGCCGAGCCCGGCGCCTCCTGCATGACGCATTCGTGGTTCCCGGTCGCGCACCGATCGCAGGGGGGCGCATGAAGCTGACGACGCGATCGATGAGCCGCCGCGGACGGATGCGGACGTTTACTCACCTTCGGCGGTTCCTTAGTTCGATCCGAAAGGGCTGGCACCCTGATGGTGAGCACGGGTCGATCCGACCCGGTGGCGCCGGAGCCCTAGACACCGGCGGTCAGCGAATCGAACGATGCAAGGAACGGCCCTCCGAACCCCCTCGCCGATCGTGTTAGGGGTCGAGCCTTGAGGGGACGTGCTTCTTCGCCCATCGGTGGGCATCGGACCTTCCTGTGCGAGTCGAGCGCCCCGGATAGCTCGGATCCGCTCCAGAAGGATCGCCTTGTCGTGCGAGGAGGGTTGCATGGCCTTCGGAATCGATCGGAAGCGGAGGTTAGCGACTATGCACGTCGCTTGAGTCAAGATCGGACGGGGAGACGACCGACGCGCAACGAACCGACGTAGGCGCGTCGCATTCAACCGTCACGTGTTCAGTCGATGTCGCCGTCGTGTAAACGTGGACGCCGCGGCAAGGCGACGCGAAATACGGTGGTACGAGCAACGATTGAAGCCGGTGCCTTGGATTGACGTGCTCACCTGCGATGACGGGTCCGGGTCTTGGATCCGACGCCCGATGTACTCCGGATGCGTGGTCGGGAGCATCGATGCGTTCAGTAGCCGCATATGCAGCGAAATGTGATCCAGGGCGACGCCGATCGCCATCGCCTCCTTCCTGGTGTCGTTTACGGCCCTGTTGAAGGCTAGGTTCTGGAACCGGTCGTAAAGCCGTTGGAATCGGTCCATCGCGATATCGCTGTCGTCAACGCGGATTTTATCGCTCTCAATAGACGCCGTGGCGCGTCGGACTCGGAGACGAGGAGATACGGATAAGGTGCGGTTTGCGTCCGCGCCTAAGAATGATAGTTCTCACGTCGCTGATATCCCTTTGCCAGGCGCTGGGTCTAGCATGTTCGGACTTGCGCAAATCGATCCATCGTCTGGTCACGTGCGCGATTACGCCGCCCCGACATAGAGTCCATGCCTGTCTGCCTCTCTCTTCACCTCGGCTTCGCTATGGACCGCACGCTACCCGAACTCCCCGCTACCGCGGAAGAAATGACAGATGCCCAGTACGCTGCGCTCTTGGCCGAATATTTGGCTCGCGCCGGGTTGGGCGCGGCAGTGAGTCTTTTCCTCGATCCTCTCGCTCTGTAGTACCCACGGGTCCGGCTTAGGATGATCACGACATGGACGCAGGCATCACGGAGGTGGGAGATGGCGTTAGGAATATGAGCATGGTGAGCACCGCGGTTCTCTTGGATTCGAGCTTGACCTAAGGCTCCCGGTCAACGACAAGGAACCCGCCGCCCCCCGCACGCATCCGGAAAAGCGCGCGGCTCGGAAGGACGCTTCGAAGCCCCCAGGTCCATCGCAGACAAGCGCATCGAGCTCTACGAAGGGGAAGGCGTCGGATCGTCGCGATCCCCCTGCGGTCCACGTTCCGGCACCGATCGCGTCCACGTCCCGAACCACCCCTCCTCGCGCACGGCCGGTCAAGCCCGCCGTCGCAACGAGGCCGTCTCCTAGCGCGACCGAATCCGAGCCCCCCGCGAAAAGACCTAGACCCAACCCCGCCGAACCGACGGGTTCTGGAGCGTCGCCGGCCTTCTCGCGCGACTTATCGACCAGAGGTTAGTGCGACAGAACGAATGGGTACGCTCCGCTGACATCGTCCACAGCTGCCCTCAAGGCCACTTCCGCCATCAAGAGGGTAGCTTCCGACCCGACGGAGGATCCGTCGGCCGTCGCCGCCCGTTTGTCGCCGGACCCTCGCCTGCGAGATACGGGCGTTTCCCGTAGTTCGTCCGCGCCAATCCGCGGATCGAACGCCGGGGGTCAGTCCGCGACCGGTACGGGCCCGTCTTCGGCTACGGCTGCGGACGCCGCCGCTGCTGCCGCCGCCGCACTCGCTGCATTGCGGTCCCACGACCTTCTAGACGCTGAGAGTCCGATCGGACCCGACGTGGACCGCATCGCCCCAGCCGCGATGCAGAAGCTCGAGCACATCGCGTCGCGCCTCAACGCCCTCGGCGACATCGAAGAACGCCTCGCGACGCTGGTGGATACCGTGCGGGCGACCCAAGAGGCGTCCGTTCCATCGACTTCGGATCGCGAGGGCGTCCGAAGGACCCTCGAGGACCTCGCACGGACGGTGTCAGATATCCGCGCCGCGTCGGATGTTCAGACCGCGCTCCTCGAGAAAAACGCGACGGTCATCGCGGACGTCCAACAGCTGCTCGGCAAGATTTCCGGATCCTTGGTGTCTTTATCCGGGACGTTGGTGGAGCTCAGCAGGGGCGTCGAAAAGGTCAATCGCGCGAGTCGCCGCGCTTAGATGTCGGACAGTGTCTTTCCGTGTATTTTCCTTTCGTTATTTAAGATACGCCGCGGCGGACTTTGCGGTTCCGTCTCGTACATTGTATATGAACCCAACGAGTATGGCAATACCATATGCTTTTACCGCAAAGTTAGCGGCGACCGGACGCCCACGTACGTGTATCCACTGCAACGTGGCCATCCTGGATCCGGTGGGCACGTGTGCGATCATCGATGAGTGTCGTCTAACATCGGCTCTCTAACCTGCCCGTCATCTTAGCAGCTGCATTCCCTATGGCTACCCGCAACGCCGCATCCATCTTTAACGTCCGTCGCGTCGGAGCCACCCCGATGGCTCATTCGGCGAGCAATGACAGCACCGGTAGTAAAAGGAAGGCTACGGCTTCGCCGGATGCGAAGAGGGACGCCAAAAGGGCTGACACCGTACGTAACCATCTTCGGACCGCATCCTGTTCGTAACGCACCTTGCGATTCAGGGAGTGATGTCCGCCGGATGGGCATCCGAAGATCATCGCCGCTCTGGACGCGAGCAGAGGATATCCAAAGAGCGCCTTCGCTACGCGTCATGGCTGTTCAACTCGGTGGGTTCAATCCCGTCGTCCCGCAGCGCGATTCGTTTAATATCATCCCTAGAATCGCAAGGGGTCCGTGGCATGCACCAATTGCCTCCGTCTGGGTCTCGTTTGCGAAGGCGATCTGGCGACATCCTGCCCGAATTGCATTCGAGCAGGATCCGAGGTCCGCTGCATTACGCGCGCTTCTCTCGGAGAACTCGACGACGTGCGATATGCGACGCGTCAGCATATCGCCACGATTCAGGAACTTATGTCGGTCGTGCAGGAATGCTCGGGCGATGACACGGAACTCGCGCTCTCCGCCGACAACGACGACGAGGACGAGGACGACGAGGATCCGTTCCGCCAGGCCCTCGATTTCATGCTAGCCGACATGTCTAAGGAGCTGGACGACATGTGGAAGTCGCAGGATGGTACGATCCCTTGGTAGTCATCCCGAACCTTCGGACCGGCCGCAGAGGGTCCATCCCCCCTGCGCGTTACGGTAACTCTCAGAACGGCGACCCAATCGTATTTATTCGCTACCGATGTACATATTATAACTCGAACGAACGACAGTTACCCAGTTGAACCGGGAAGCGAACATTTTTATGCCAGGTCCGGACTCACCGGTTTTGGTAATATAGGTGATCGCTGCAGCGACGACGGACACTGCGGAGCGCGTCGCTCGGACCTCGTCGTTCGTCTTGGGTGAACCGCGTTCGGGGTCGGTCACATCGCGCGCGCCGCGTTAAGCTTACGTCATCGGCGTTGGTGCGTCAACGGGTATACGAGCGCCTATTCGACAAGAGAGCTACCAGGACTAACCCGAATTCGACATGAACCGTCAGCCACAATCCACCGTTCCGATTGACGACGCGTCTCCGGAGGTACGTCTAGACGGCGCGGGTAACCCATGTATCCGTCGTTAACGCCCGTCTTCGCCGTCCCATAGACGTGCAGAAGGTGTACGGAACTCGACATCGAATGCTCCCCGCAGTACACCGCCGGCGGGCCCGCTTCGTGCGATCCGTGCCGCACCGGCAACATCTTCTGCTCAAGATCGGTCCGTGTCCGTGTCGAAGAAGAAAGCGGGCGCGAATACACCATCGCGGTGCACCGACCCGTTGTGCCGCCGCTCCATCCTCTCCCGGCTTTGGACGAAAACCCTCCAGACTCAGTTATCGACGGCGCGACGTGGATCCGATTCTTGTCCACCCGCATGTCGTACAGCTCCGCGTGGCTGCACCACATCTTCAACGCGTTCGAGCGAGCGATCGCCTTGCACGGTCACTATTTCCAAACCGTCCTCGCCCAAAGCCTGCATACCGTCGCCGACGCGCTTCGAACCGGCAACGAGTCCATCCGTCGGATCGTCCGCACCACTCCAACGCCGGCGGAAGATCGTCCGCGGGCGGTACCGACAGAGCTGCGACTGCTCAGGACCCGCGTGAGCGACATGGAAGCGGCCTGCGCGCGACACCAGGAGCATTCTACGCAACGCATCTCAGCGCTGGAACGTCGCGTGGCCGAGTTGGGAAGGGAGCTGGTTGCGCTCAACGCCGACGTCCGAGAAACGCGTCCCACCGGGGACGAAGAGTAGACGGGAAGCACGGAGCCGTCTGATTAGACCGCTCCGCGTACCGACGTCGTACATGCGCCGGACGGTAAGGCATCGGATCCGATCGCGTCGCTTCGCATGGTATCGTATACGATCGCGTTGTGTAGTAATCGCCTAACGTTGCACGTAGTCGCCTTACGTAGCTGTCCCATCGCATCGCGTCGCTTCGCCGCGCGGGGTCGTTATATACGGACGAGACCTCTACGCGATACACACCGTCCACTTTCGTCTTCGCGCCGTTCGGTTAAAGCACGTGAACCGGGGGCCTTCCGACGTCGCGACCGTCCCACCTTACCCGCGAACCCCTCCGCGTCTCCACCTGCCACCATGTCTGGCCATCCCGCTACCGCTACCGCCGCCGGCCCGGCGAAGGTGAGCTCTGCGACTCCTGCCCCCCAACATCGCCAGACGTTCGAGTTCCAGTGCAAGGTTTGCCAAGACGTGGGCACGCGCTGCGTATCCTTACCGTCTTCGCCGAATCTACCACTCTGCGAAGCTTGTCACAACGCCGGCAACTTCTGCACGGGAATTACCGATCGCGTAGACAAGGGCCCACTACGGCAGCTGGAGGGCTTGCTGTACGTGGACCTGGTTTCCGTCGACCGTCTGGACCTTGGGGTTCAAACCGAACCCGCGGGCACCAACGTGCCGACCTCCGTCTCCGTCGCAGTGCAACAGACGATTCGACAGTTTCGAACGTTCGAACTTTGGGCGGAGGGCATCGTCGCGGCCACGGTCCGGCTTCTGGTCACACACGCGAGGGGAACGAACAGCGTGATCTCGAAATGGAGACAGGGGTGGGAGCCGTTGATGGGGCATTTGGAAGATGGTATCAGCGGCGCGCTGAGGCAACGCGCCGCGGATGCGTCGGGGTTGGATACATCCTCCGGGTCCGAAGCCCTCTTCGCGGCCTCGGACCTGGTCGAAATAGACGGGCTATCGCGCCGCCTCAGGAACATAGAGCAGCGGATAATGGAGGACGACGACAGGGAAATAGAACAAGCGGAACTGGTTAGGGTTAGGGTTAGGGTTAGGGTTAGTTAGGGCGCCCAAAAAACGCGAGGGAGCGAAGCGACCGAGCGTTTTTTGGCGCAGGGATGGTCGCAACAGAGAGAGGAGCGGGGGCGAAGACAGAACCGACAGTGGCTGAGGGGATCCCCAGCCAGCCCTGTTTCGCCTTTATAGGCTCATCAGGGTTCTGCCCGAGATGACCGAGCGACACCGTGCCGGCCGAGAGGCCGACGCGGCGACAACAAAAATATCAACGCCAAGACGATGGAACGGGGTTACGCACCTAATCGGGAACAAAGAATCCCGCACGGAGAGCCGCACGGGAGCCGAGACACGGCAGAACATACACCGTAGGAAGAAACATCCCAACAGGGACAGCAGAACCCCGACAAGCCCGTTCCGATCCGTTCCCCTCCGAGCCGAAGCTCGGTGTACTAAGAAAGGACAGGCCGGCCGAGATGCCGCCGTGCCGCTGCCAAGACATTCCCACTGCGGAGATGCCGACCGGGCCGACCGGCCCGAGGAAGCCGAAGACTTCTACGGACAGCCACCATCAGCTTACGTAAGCAAACTGACCCACGTACCTTATCGTGGGAACCCTAGCCTTAGGGTTAGGCTAGGGTTCGGAACCCCATGGTTAGGGGTTAGCTGTTAGGGTTAGCCGGTTAGGGTTAGGCTAAGTATCAATGTTCCTTAGTTGACGTTGATTCCTCTTTGGTCAAGAGGGGTACTTACGTTAGGGTTAGCTTACCGGTTAGGAGACCTGTCTCATAACGCCTAAGGTTAATACCGTCTGCGCGACCAAGTGCAGACCGAAGTACCTACAAAATTGTTGTTCTTTAAGAATCGCTACC